AGCTCCAACACTTTGAAAGATAGTCTAGCATGCAGCACTTATTAATAATTCATTTTCTCTCTTTCTTCAAAGGCAAATACAATTTCCAAGCACAGCTATGATCATCAACGTTGACACCTTGAATTGATATCATCCCGAGCAAAAGCAAAGTAAGAGTCTTAGTTATCCTGCAAAGACCTCTTCAGAGAGTCATACGGATTCTACTGGGTAAGCCTGCAGCCACCCATTTGGCCCGAGAGCTCCCTAGAGGACCAGAACTCCCTTTATGGGAAAAACTTGTCCTGTTGATAAAAAAAATAGAATTATTTTTAATTCATGAATTTCAGATTTGATTAGATAGCAGCCATCAGGAGAGATTTAAAATGGTTCAACTGAGGAGCCTTAGAGTCACCTTTTAGTTCTATGTGCTACAAGGGTCCATTCTCAGAAGTAGTAGAAGAACTTCTAACGCAGTGCTCCCAGTGGACAAGGTAGGCCACTCATTATGGAATAATGAGTTTATTATTGTTCCCTCTGTGCTTTTGCTAGAAACATTTTCTTCCTTCTAGAGCACTTGTTGATGCATTCTTTTTTTTTTTTTTTTTTGTCAGTCATGGGACTTGAACTCTGGGCCTGGGCGCTGTCCCTGATCTCTTCAGCTCAAGGCAAGCACTCTACCACTTGAGCCACTGTGCCACTTCCGGTTTTCTGGTGGTTAATTGGTGATAAGAGTCTCATGGATTTCCTGCCAATGCTGTTTTTGTTGTTGTTGTTGTTTTTGTCAGTCATGGGGCTTGAACTCTGGGCCTGGGCGCTGTCCCTGAGCTCTTCAGCTCAAGGCAAGCACTCTACCACTTGAGCCACTTCCAGTTTTCTGGTGGTTAATTGGACATAACAGTCTCATGGAGTTTACTTCCCAGGCTGGGTTTGAACCACCGTCCTAAGATCTCAGCCTCCTGAGTAGCTAGAATTACAGGCATGAGCCACCAGCATCAGGCTGCTGATCTGATGCATTCTTCTCAACGCCATCTTGCTTTGCTTCACCTGAAACCCATTTCTCTGAGGATAACACTCTATATTGACACCTTATGTGACAGGCTGAACTGTGTCTTCAATTCCTATTGTGAAGTCCTCAACACGCAGCTGTCCTGGGGGACCCTGTCTTTTCGACAGATAATTGAGATAAAATGAGGTAATGAGAGTGGGCTCCAACCTAATACGACTGGTAACATTGTACCAAGAGGAAAATGAGGCTTAACGATATAGCTCAGTGGTAGAGCATTTGCTTAGCATGCACAAGATCTTGGGTTTAATCACCAGCACGTGAGAAGGATAAACCAAAGAGAAACTTTGGCATGGACATTCCATAGCCAGACAAAACAACAAGTAAAGCCACAGAGACTAAATGAGTATCTTGTAAGCCAAAGAGAGGAGCTTAAGAAAGAATCCACCTAGCACATACCTTGACCTTCAGTTTCCAGGTCAGACCAGAAATACATTTATGTTGTTTAAGGCATCCAGTTATTTATTTGGAGCCTTAGCTGACTAATGTATATTGTCTTCCTGCCCCCTCTTTCTTTACTCTGCACATCGACAATAGATACATTTCCTTGTTCAAAGTTGAATGTCTGCTGCCATACATTTAAGAATAAGACATATAATATAACTTTTGAGGCAATAGAGAAAATGCTACTACTGATGATTCTCATTGATATTTGGACACGTAGATTCTTCAGGAACAAGGGTATTGCTCCCATTATCTTGAATCGTGGATGGCATTTTGTTTTGTTCAGTCAGTGAAATCTTCTACTGACATGTAGTCAAGATTAAGCTAGCTGTAAGGTAAAGGAGTTTTGATGAGCTGAAAGACCAAGGAGGAGGTGAAAGACAAGGCTGGATTCTGAATATAGGGAGAAAACATGTGCCAAGGACCAGGAAACTTAGGAAGCTTCCTGTGTGTGTGTGCGCGCACACATGCATGTGTGGGTGCACGCGTGCATGAGCACACTACTCCTGGGACTTGAACTCTGTGCTGTCCACTGAGCTTTTTTGCTTAAGACTTAGCACTCTCCCACTTGAGCCACAGCTCCGCTTCTGGCTTCTTGCTAGCTAACAGGAGATAAGCATCTCATAGACTTTCCTGCCTTGCCTGGCTTTGAACAACATTCCTCAGATCTCAGGATTACAGATGGGAAACACTAGCTCTTATTGGCTTTGGAGTTTTGTGTGCTGCTGGCTTTAGACACACCCCAAGTAGGGCCAGCCCACATCCATAGTAAATTCCAGGAAGCAGAGGACAGACTCACAGGGCCAAGCAACTCCTAGGATTTGTCTTAGAACCTTCTGTGCTAAGGTAAATACTAATCTCCATTTGTATTATTTGTCTTTCCTTCAGAGAGAGAAGCTCCAAGCACTTCAGACACATGTCTCGTATCATTTCTCTTTTCTTTTTGGCCATGGGAGGGAGGGTAAGGGAGAGAAATGAAGGAGGAGGTAACAAGTTCAACAAGAAATGTATTCACTACCTTACTTATGTAACTGTAACCCCTCTGTACATCACCTTGACAATAAAATTAAAATAAAAAATAGGTACAACATGATTTGCATCAAGGCACAGTAAATTAGTGGAACGGTTAGAAATGTGTCTGAGGTAAAAATAGGTAGCCAATATGATGCCACTACAATAAAATCTTCATGTAGGTTACCAATTAGTTGAGAGAGCACCTAATTAAAAGTTATTAGCAACTTGCCACATTCAAGGCTCTGTGCATCCGAGTACCTTGTAATGATGGAATGGATGTTAAGGAGGTAATGGTATTTGAAGGGAGAACTTGCACTTAATGCTGTATCAAAGCTTTACTGCTCTCCAAAGACTGTCATCTTTTCAATCACCCTTGTGTCAATGTCATGTCTCAGCCTCAGAGTTTGAAAACACTTTCTGCCTTAATGATTTACAAACTTTCATAAACAGGAAGCAAGTAAGAGATTCCCTACTGCCCTAGGCCAAGGAAGATTCATGGTTTCTGCTTCAGTATGTGACAAAGAGTTACACAATCACAAGTTTGAATTCTTCCCACCTGTGTCTGATCTCAGGTAGAAGAGTAGTGTCTCTGAGAGGTTCAAGCTTCTTGGATTAAAGCTGTAACTATTTCTTTTACTGCACCAGACCATTCTAAGAAAGGACTGTAGAACTTTATAAACAGTACAAACACCAAACTCACAAACAATTGCCTATCTTTGAACTTGGTATGATTTATCATATGAACCTAAAACATTTTTAAGCAAATGTTTTGTTGGACACTAGAAAATGTGGAGAGACATCTGCCATTGCCCCCTATAGAGAGGAGTCATTTTTAGGGAATCATTTCCGTAGGGGGTTAAAATATCACCTGAGGTTGGTTCTTGTGAGATTTTCAACAAAGCTGTTTACAGTTTTAGACTGTGAGTAATTAGGTAGGATTGAAGCTATACCATGCTCTGTGAAGTAAGTTCGTCCCTCATCTCACAGAGAAGCTTTTCTGACTCAAAATCTCAGATTTTTTTGTCACCTTTTTTTTACTTGATCTGTAGATCTGTCCTTCCTGGTTTTCATTTCTTTTGCACGGAGTAACTGATTGCTACAACTCAGTAGTATGCCCATTTGCATCCTGTACCCGGGAAGCTGAACTCACAAGGGATTCCAATCTCCACTTTAGGAACTGCAGGTTCCAGGATGCCCTCTACAGGTGAGAAAAAATATTTCTGGCACTCTCCGAACAGTGCACCTCTGAGGTCCCAGGCCTCAGAGGAGATTTTTACCAGATGCTAGCAGCTGTTTGCTGGTAACACCCTCAGGCAAACCCATGCCCTGATAACGCTGGGCTTTTAGTTTAAGTGGCTGAAGGGGTTCAAAGCATGAACTAGAGGAAGTAGAATTGCATAGTGTCATACATGTATCTGCTTCCTACTAGCTTCCTTGCCTTCATCAAGTCATTTCAACATTTTGTGCCTCAGTTTCCCATTCTTCAACAAATGGACATAGATAAAGCCTAGCTCACCTCTCGAGGTTTTGGAAGCCAGTGCAGGCTGGAAAGTCTGTAAGATGACTCGTACATCCAAATAACCACACATACACACACACACACACACACACACACACACACACACACACAAACCCTGAAGTAGAGCTTTGGCACAAGTGATAGAGCACTGGACTTGAGCAAAAAAGCTCAGGAACAGTGCCATACCCCAAGTTCAAGCCCTGGTACCAGTGCAAAGAGAGAAGGTGGTGATGGTGAGAAAACAAGAGAACAAGAGACAAATAGAGAGGCAGACAGAGACACAGGGTGAGGGAGAGGGAGAGGGAGATGGAGAGGGAGAGGGAGAGCAACAGAGAGAGGATAACCTATCTCTCAGAAGGTATGAGGTTAAAGGAAGCTAGGGGATTTGAAAAACAGCCTGGAGCTCAATACAGAGAAACTCAGGGAAATTATTGCTCATCCACCTCGAGTCAGCGCTTAGGGAGCAGAAACATTTGGCCCTGCCCAAACATAGGATCTAGGGATCTGGCTTATTTATGAGTGATTTCCCTTAACGAGTCAAAAGCTAACGCATACACACGCCCCCTTCAGCCCCCACACCCAGCAGCAAGGTAAATATATTATACTGTTTGTTGCAAACATATTGAAAGCAACTGTAACACTTTCAAATTCGGAACAATAAATTCCTGCTCAACTCATTGCCGGTCACTTGAAGCCTTGAATGCCCCGCGGGGCGGGCGGGGGGGGGGAGTTCAAACCCCTCCATCCAGAATTGGGAATGGAAAGGTAGCTCTTTGAAGGACTGCCCAAGGAACCTAAAGAAGAGGTGGGGTGGTGTAAAGGGACCTGCGCTGAGCGCTCGCCAACTCTCCAGCGCCCCTCCCCTCCCCCAGTCTCTTCTTCCAAGTGGGCGGGGAGGGGGAGGGGACACAGAACCCAAGCCGCTTCACTCCCTTCTAGGAAGGTGGGAACTCGCCCTGCAGACACAGGTTCTCATCTTACCACGAACTCCTCCAAAGTCTGGTAGGTCTTGCCCCGGAACTCGCAGTAGTTCTTCCTCTCCTTGCACTGCGGGCAGCACTGGCTGGTGTCGACGTGGATGCAGCGCGGGTGCAGCCGCGGGCACTCGGGCTGTGCGCACAGCGGGCCCTCCTCGGTGCACATGCACGGGCAGGCCGAGGGGCCCGGCGCGAACTTCTCCCCGATCGCGTATACGAAGCCACTTTCGTCCACGCAGCCTTTCCCGCGGTAATCTGGATACACGTACTCCTCGGGCAGCTCGGGGGTGGGTACGAGTTCGGGGCTGATCGCGTCCTGGGCGGCTGCCACCAGGGCTTCCTCCTGCGGGGTGTCCCCACGAGGCCGCGCTTGCAAGTCCCCGGCTTTGGTGCCCCCGCCCTGGGCAGCCCAGGCCTGCTTCTGCTTGCTCCACGCGTCCCGGCTGCCGAAGGCACGGCTGCTCTTGCTTTTCCAATCCCGGGCACTGGAGCCCTCGTCCCTCGCGGCGCGCCCCAGCTCGCTCACCCGCCCCGGGCTGTCCCGCGACGCGTGCTCGCGCTTCTCCTGGCCCGGCTGCTCCGGTGCCTGGGCGAGCTTCTCCAGCGGGATGCTCGGACTGCACAGAGCCACCATCAGGCAGCAGGTGACCAAGAAGGAACGGGAGAGCGCGCCAACTGCCATCGCCGGGGAGCTGGGCATCCCCTACCACGTCCCGGCGGGCGGGCGGGCGGGCGGGGAGCGCGGATGAGGGGCGAGTCGCATTCACAGCCCGGGGGCGCGCCACGGCCAGCCGGGAGCCGGCGTCCCTGCGGAGAGAACAGCAGCACAACTGAGCCCCGCGGCCCGCGCGCGCCAAGGCCCGTCGCAGCCCCCACCCAGCCGGGCGCCGCCGCCGCCCGGACTCCGGCACCCGCATCGCTCTGGGTTAACGAGCTGGACTCCTGGAGGGGCGGCGGGGGGGCGGGGGGCGGGGGGCGGCTGGAGGGGGGCGGCTGCGCAGCTTGCCCAGTGTCGGGGCCCAGTGGAGGGCCTTAGACATCACACACTGGGGTGGGAGACCCTGCAAAGGAAATCCAGGGCGAACACCGATCGCGGGGTCTTCTGGAGTCACCATTGGCGTGGGAGAGGGTCACTAAAGGCCAGCCAGCCCGGGGAGGGGCTGGGGGGGTTTGGGGGGAATGCAGTGAGCCGGGCCTGTAGCTTGCCCCGAAATCGTTCAACTCAGGCACCCGGGCTGTCCCTCTCTAGGTCCTGGCCTTATTTCCCTAAGGTTACTAAATGCAGAATTTCCGCAGTGGAGTTGGATTGTAACCAAGCAAAACCCTTCCTCCCTTGGCCGAAGGGGCTGTGCGGGTAGATGATAACAAGGGTTCTCCTAAGTCCCCGTGACTCATTTGTAACTTCTTAAATGCCTTCAATGCGGGGAGCTTCTGCCCCCTCCCTTCTGTGGCCCTGCTGCCCGGAAGGAACCCCCTAGCCCCTCCCAGAATTTTTGTTTTCTTTGAGACTTTGCTCCTCCGTCCGCCCCCTGCGCCAGCGCCCCCCTCCCCAGAGATGACTTCAAGCCGGGTCGCCAGCCATAGCGCTTAGTCTTGGACTTGCTTTTACCCAAGAGGGGTGTATGGCGATGAAGAAACAGAACAGTTTTGGACAGCGCTGAGGGGGCAATAGTTTGGGGGGGTCTCCAGGGCACAGGCGGGGTGTAGGGGAGTGCGGGAGGTGGGGGGGAGCAGTTTATATCACTAAAAACATGACTGGCAGCCTTTCCAGACCCCAAAGTTTCTGCCGCTCAAATGAGCCTCCAGTCACAGACACCGCTCCGCGTCTGGACACAGCTTCTCAGCGCCAGGCTCCCCCAGTTTCCCACCTTCCCGGGGTGTCTATTCGGATGCTCTGCGGGCATCTGTCCACCTCCCCTTCCCCCCCTCGCGGTCAGGACTCTGGTCCTGCCTGCCTGACGCTCCCTTCCGTCTGGGCTCTGCCGACCTCAGTCAGAGGCGAATCGCCCATATTTACGAACTTGGGCGGGAGGTGTGTGTGTGTGGGGGGGTCTTCCCTAAGAGCCCCGCAGTGGATTAATGAGGGCTGGGACGTGGACACCCAACATGCACCCTCCTCCCCGAGGACCCCGCGCCGTGCCTACATACATGAGCGCAGTACGCGGCCCGGACACCGGGCTCGCGGCGGGCGCGGCCCCGGGGCACCAGTGTCCATCCTCTGGCCAGTAGGGGAACCCACGCAGAGCGGACCACGGAGAGCACGGGCGCGTGCACCCGGCTAGGGCGTCGGACTCGGCTGGCTCATCCCAAGGTGGCAGGGTGTAATCTCGGCTCCAACTTGCATCAGTGCCCACGCGTCGCTCTGATGCCCATCGCCGGGTGTTGTGCCTGCGTCTCGGCCACGAAGGACGCCTTGGGGGTCAGTCTGAGTCCCGTCTCGCTCTTCTTGGCGAGCGGGCTCAAGATTTCTCCAGACCAAGCAGCAGGAATGTCTGGGCAGCAGCCGAGCCTTGGAGGGAGAGAGAGAGAGAGGAGAAGCGCCCACTGCGACCCGCTGGCAGAGCCGCAGCCCGGTGGTGTGCAGGCTGGCACCGAGCCCACATCTGCCTCCGGCCTCCCGCCTCTGATCGCAGCTGCCTCTTGGTCGACTTGCAGCCCGTTCCCTCCTCCTGGGCTGTCCCTGCTCGGGAGGCGTAGCCACCGTAGCCGCGCGCTGTCCCCGGGTGGGGGAACCTCCAGTCCCCAGCCTCCCGCCTCCCACCGCAAGCACATCCTTCCTGCCTCTCAGCCCACCTGTCAGTCGCGCTCCCGGCCGCCTGCCCAGCTCCCCTGGCTGCCCGCCAGCCCTGCCCTGCCCCGCTGCCATTAGCCTGCCTGGCCTCTCTGCTGCACCTTTCCTGTTTGCCTCCCCCCTATTCCCTTTATTCTTTCCTTTGATTTCTTTCTCCCTAATTTGGCTCCCTACTGGACTTTTCTCTGGGGACAGTTTGCTTTTACTACAGTGGAAAACAAACCTAAAGAAAACACATCAGTTTAGAATCCAAAGGCTGGATTAGCTTAAACTTTTCAATCAGAAATCCTATAATGGAGACCCAGAAAAGTTGGAAAGTTACATAATGGCAAACAGCACTTGGCATTCTCTCTCATCTACCACAATCATAAATCTTTTGTTACAAATATTAATTTGCTAGGATGCTAAACTGTGATCTAGTCTTGTATTTCTTCTTTCATCTGGACTATGCAATTTGCAATTTACTGTGTGTGTGTGTGTGTGTGTGTGTGTGTGTGTGCACACGCGCTCATGTGTGTGTATAAAGTGGTACCTATTCACACTCACTTCTGAAATGGAATTTTTCTAAGAATGCACTTCTTCCAAGCAAAGGTCATGAACCATACCTCTGTTATTTTAAAATCTTTTTTTTGCTATCATCAAATTTCTTTTTTTTTATTGTGAGAATACCATACAGAGGAGTTACAATTACAAGGGCAAGATAACGAGTACATTTCTTATCAAGCATTGTTGCCTCCTCTTGTTTCCCCTTCCCATCCCTTCCCATACTCCTCCCCTCCCCCCACCAGATCCCCCTCCCCCCGAACATTAAGTTCGTTTTTCTACTTAACGACTTGTATATCTCATTGTTGCAGTGGGTCCACCTGTATGCCTAGTTAAACGATTTGGTTTTTTCCCTGTTATTTTAAAATCTTAGAAGATGTATGAGTGGTAAACACAGATAACTTTTCACTCTACTGGTGGGAATGGTGGGTGGGTTTGGGAACGAATGATTTTTTTTTAACCCATCTCTGAAGGGTGATCAATTTATGTATAAATGAAGTGTCCTAAGGAAGGGGTTTTCTCCCTTATCTCCCCTGGAGATTCTTTTCTTTCCTTTTGCACACAAAAAACAGCACATACACAAACAAATGCCAAAAAGTGTTGGATGTGGTTTCCACGTCCAGGTTTCTATTGGCTCTGGGCCTTGGTAGTGCCAGGGTCTTCTTTCTGTATCCCACAGTAGAAGAGAAAGGCTGCCTTCTCCTGCAGGCTTCAGCTACCTGGCCCTGTCTGCTTGCTTTCCTAGTGTCTTGGGCACACTGCTATCAGTTACGGTGTCTGTGTTTTTATGTAGGGCTCATATGAATTCTTTATCATACATATTTTACAGTTACAATGGGTGTGTGGGGGTAATGGATCTATATGATTTGGGATCTTGTGATACTATCATGTTTTTTTTTAATAGAATCAGGTCAACTTTTGCCTCTTGGCTTACTGATTAACTAACTCCGAGTCAGTTATTGGATCTCCCATGTGCTCTGTTTTGCCAGTAAGTATTCTTTGCTCCTATGGTTACCAGAGAGAAACCCCCAAAGCTGGACAAATAAGAACCTATAATTGTATATGTGAGAGTCTAATTGAAAAATTGCTTAAGGGTCCTTTAAGGAATGGGGGCTATGTCTATATTGGTCTCCCTTTAATCACAGGCCACTTTGAATCAGAAGGGGAAATGGGATTTTATCCCCACCTTCTGATCATAATAGAGGGCTAGGAAGAAGACATTTATGTTTGCAAGAAGAGGATTGATAAACTAAGGGTGAATTATTCTACCATGGGTCCAAATTCATCTGTCAGACATTCTCAGAGATGATGTGATAGGCTGATGAGATGGGTGGGGGGAAGGATGCAAAGGCTCCTGTCTTTCCTGAAGAAGAATACTCAAGGATTAGCCAAGGAGTAAAGAGGACTTGGCTGGTGTTGGAAGGATGCATAGGACTCACTGACTGCCAATGCAACCAGGCTCTGATCTACTTCCCTCCCTCCTTCCTTTATTCTGTCTTCCTCTTTCCTTACCCTCCCTCTTTTCATTCATCCTTTTCTTTTCCTCTCTTATTTTCTTATTTGTCTTTCAGGCTGAAGAGTTAAGAGCAGCAGCAGGAAAAAGTCTAGAAGAGAAATAAGATGACATGAGTCTCATCCAGATTCCATAGGGACTGATTTTGATAAGATGGGACAAATCCCCTAGTGTTACAGGGCATTGGTTCTTGTCTTGAAAAGGAAAAAAAAATCTGGGTGCTGGTGGCTCACTCCATAATCTTAGCTACCTGAGAGGCAGAAACGTTTAGAAGATTCTCATTTCAACCTATTACTGGGCACAGTGGCACACACCTGTCATTCTATCAAAAACTGGGAAGACTAAAATAAACCAATTTTCATCCAGGTGTGAGTCTAGTTGGGAAGCCAGATCTCAAACCTAATGAAAGTAAAAGAGGTTGAAGATATAGCTCAAGAGGTAGAGTGCCTGCAAAGCAAGCAGAAAACAGTGAATTCAATCCCCTCCCACCCCTACCCAGTACCACCCTATAATAATATCAGTACTAGCAACTACAAAAGGAACAAGAGAGAATTCCCAAATTTATAGGAATCCAAGGTATTCTGGGAATATGACACACTTCTGCCACCACACTCTCATTCCAATACACAGCTCAAGTACAATCGTCTTCCAGCCAAGCTAAGGGCGTGTGCTTGATTTCCTGGCCAGATCTCAGCAAATGACAAAGCAAATGGGTTTCAAGCAGGATGCAGCTTCACCTTGAAAGGTCACTCCCTTGTCCTGTTCCTTTAGGCAGAAGCAATCTTAGTTCTTCTCCATGAGAGCATGGTTTATGTCTCAGTTGCAGCCTTTGTAACCTCTGCTTCTTCACAGCTCCAGGGTATCTGTTCTTACCTTTGAAATAGCTTCTTGCTAAAAGGCTGGAGCCATCCTTTTTATTTTCATCCTTAGCACCCAGGGTCCTCACAGGACCATATGAAG